CTCTATGCTCTGCTTCTTTTTCCATAGCACTTAGCATATTTTAACAGTACTACCTAATTTCCTTATTCTGTTTATTGTTTACTGTCTGTCTCTCATGCTGGAATATTAGTTCCATAACTGCAGAAATTCTTGTTTTGTTCATTCACATTTTTCAAATGTTTAAAACAATGTCTAGCACTTAGTAGGTATATAATAAAAATTTGCTGATTTAATAGGTGTTTTTTAAAATCTAGAATTATTTCTTTTTTCTTTTATTTTTCTATTTTCTTTTATACTATTTTATTGCATTTATTAAATAAATGTTTTCCAAAATTATGTCTGGAGGGTTTTTTTTTTAAGTATTTTTGCTGCATGCTGAGCAAATGATTAGAAGACCTATTTGACAGGCATCACCAGTTAAACTGAGAATTCAAGTACCTTCTGGAACTCAGATGATGCCTCTGTGGCTGCACTATGGTGAGTGAGGGGAGATGATTATAGTGAAGCCCATCAAGTCTACAGAGGCCAGGCTGTTGAGGGTTTTGTGAACCAGGGTAAGGAGTCCAAATTAAGTTTTTGGTTAATTAGGAGCCACTGGAGGTTTTAGGGAGGAAGTTAGGCAAAGACACTGAGCATTGTAACATGTGGTTGATAAGGCCCATTGGATGGATTGCTCTGAGGGTGGCATTCCCACTTTTTATTCAATGACTTATCTGTCCTTGATCATCTGATGATGCCTAGTTTAGCAAGCTTGGTTGTACTGAGTAGTGCAGCACTAGTTAGAGGTATGGACTCAAACCATTTTCAGAGTACTCAAATTTCACCCAGATCCTCACTTGCCAAAGTGTAGTCTGTGGGTCAACAGCAACAGCAGCACCTGGGAGCCTGTAAGAAATGCAGAATCCCAGGCCCTATTCCAGATCTACTAAACAGGAATCTGCATCTCAACAAGATCCCCAGGTGATGTGGAGGCACATGAAAGTTGAAGAAGCACCATCCTAAGGTATAGAACATTGACTGAGCCATTCACTTCTAGCTCTGTGAGGACTGTAGTGGGAAAGGATAGGAGAACTCTTTCCTCCTGTCGTCTAAGCTATACATTGACCCACTGCCTGTGGCTGTAATATCTATCCTTTGATAAGAGCATAAAAGTGTCCAGAGGTCAGAAATTTTGAGGACTGTTGCACTAGAGCAAAGTAAAATGAAGACTGAAAAGCCTTTTGTGGGAAACAGGAAGCTTCTCAAGTAGACTGTTAGGTAGGCAGGATAGAACATACTGACAAGACGAAAGAAAAAGGTCAACCTGTTTCTAAAACAAACACACCCATAAGGAGAAATGTTAGTGTCTAAATAGGTTCTCAAGGTTCTCTGTATTGTGATTTTTTTCTCTGTCATAAATAACCGAATTGCTAAAACCAGGCATACTCCCCACATAGGGCACTGCTGTTGTCTCTGCCCTGAATTCTCATCCCCCAGATAATCTATGTGACTAATTCCCTCACCTCCTCCAAGCCCTTTATCAAAACTTACCATCCCGCTGGTGCCCACCAGACCACTCAATTCAAAATTGCAACCTACCCTGCTCCATTCACACACATTCCCATCTCCCTTCACCCAGCTTTGATTTTTTTTCCATAGAACTTACCACCTGCTAAAATATCATATAACTCATTTGTTTATTATATCTACTGATGCTACACCACTTACCAGAATGTGAGTTCTAAGAAGGAAGGCTTTTTGTTTGTTCCCTGATCTATCCCAAGCATCTATTCCAGAGCAATGCCTGGTACATGGGTAGGTCCACAATAAATTTTGTTAAATGGAGGAGAGAATTTTGCAGATAGAGCAGTGAACCTTGAGAGATCAAGGCTGGCTGTTGTTAAACTAGGGCAAAACCCAGATTTGAATTCTGATTTGAACAGTGGCCAGATTTATGATCTTCAGCAAGTTATTAAACTCTCAATTCTCTCACATGTAAAATCTGCCTCACAGAGTGACAGTGAGAACAAATAAGGCAATGGCTGAATATTGCACATCACCTGGCATTCACAGCTGCTATAGTCATCACATTGTCATTAGCAACTTCATCTTTTATGCTCCCAGCAGCCAGTGTTCAGGATTTCCTAATTGGATTAAAGGCAATGGGCAGCCCCAGGTTCACTTTTGGTACATAAAGAATAGCTTGATTTTCCATTGCTCAAGAAGATAATATCTTTCAAACTCGGAAATATAAATAAAACACATTAAACTCATAGCATGTCTGTTCTAGAAACATCATGGGAGGTCACTTGGTTGAAGCTTTATATTACCTTAACACGTAAGGAAGTGAAGGCCTGGGGTAAAGAGGTTTTCTAAAAGTCACATAGCTTGTTAGTATAGAGTAGAACCTGAAATCCAGGTTTTTAGATTCCCAGGCCAGCATTCTTTCCACTCTTTAGCATGGAAACTGTTACTGTAAAGGATGAATTAATGCCTTTTGCAACAATTTGCATGGAACTAGAGACCATTCTCCTAAGTGAAGTATCTCAGGATTGGAAAATCAAACACCACAGGTACTCTTTATTAAACTGGAACTAACTGATGAGCACACATGTGCACAAAGGGAAGTAAAACTCAGTGAAAATCAAACATGGGAGAGGCGAGGAGGGGAGGGGCAAAACCTACCCTAATGGGTACAATGAACACTATCTGGGTGACAGGCACACCTATAGCATTACAAAAGCAACCCATGTAACCAAAAACATTTATACCCTCTTGATATTTTGAAATTTAAAAAAAAGTAGTAAAAACCATGTATATCAAATCCTTAAAATCCAACAAATTAAAAAAAAAAAAAACTCAAACTTTTCACCCTGTATAAGGTTAGAATAGAGAAGTAGGAAATAATTGAGATAATGTCTGGAAGAGACTAGGGTGCCTCTCTGACACAACATGCCCAGAGTCATTACAGCTCATAATTAATGATTTGCATATAAGTAAATATTAAACAAATAAATCCTGCTTATACCCTGAAAGAACACTGAGTTCCTTCATATAATCATACAGAAGATTCTAATCAAGGAGAGATAAGCCCATCAAGTCACTGATGCAGCATTTTTTTCAACCTTAGTATGTTAATTTTAGGTCTCTTAGGCTGTACCTATAAATTGTATATTTGGATCAAAACTTGTTAACCAATTTAGTCAAATATTTTGGCTGACTTTTTTCCCTGAATATTGTTTAAAAGAGTCAGAAATAGTAAAATCCATGGGATTTAATTTTACTATTATTAGTAGCATCTCCTAAACACGTTTTGAAAATTGGCCCTCATTCTTATATGTAGGTAATTATAAAGTTGGCTCTTCCACTTGTAAAGGCAAATAACCAAGTGATATGCACTAAAAGAGAAACTGTATAAAAAATCACATATGCAAGATGTAATAGATTGGTCTGTGATTAAGCAAGCCTCAAAAAAAATATTACTAAAAATAAACCAAGGAAGCAAACAACACAGTTGTTATGGAAATATGTTTGAATCACTGAAAGCAAGTGAAAGATCCCTCCTATTTGGCAAACATTACCACTCAGACTCCACTGCACAGTACAAGCCCATACAAATCAACATCATAAAACAATATATGGAATGCAGCACCAGGGTAAACCTCCAAGCCAGTGCAAAACACTGAATAACAGTAAAGTCCCTACTGGTAGTTGGTTACAAAGTTCTTTACCTGAAGAATCTGATCTCTTAATCCATCTTGAATTTATTTATTTATTCCACAAATATCTAATAAGCATCTGTCAAATAGAGTTTGAAGCACCAGGAAGTCAGAGACAAATGGCATTTTTTATATATTACCCAGCTTAGAACTTAAAAAAAAAAGTCCGGATCAAGTTTGTTTTTAAAGCAATGAGTAGATAAGGAAATGAAAATAAAAACTTCCATGTCTAGCTGGGGCAGATGTCACAAAGCCCTCACTGTTGAGCAAAGGCTAAATGTATAATTACACAGGAAAAAAACAAACAAACAGTAAATGTAAACATTGTTCTAACAGACTAGATCTAAGTTTCAGGGGTTGAATAGGAAATATAAGCAGTAATTTCATCATGGCTAAGAAGGAAATATATAATTAAAGAAAGGCAAGCACCTGTCTAGAACGAATGAGAAATAGGAGAATGTGAGGAAATGAATAAATGTCCCCCTAGGTCTAAAGTATATTGGGGCATCCACGTAGGAAACCACTCATGGCATCACCACAGGTGAGCACCCCCCTGCATAGGGACTCAAGCACCTCAGAAATAAGGTAGATTTATTCCCACTCCTTTCCTTACCCCAACAGGCAGTACCCAGACGGGGGCAACATAGAAATACACAACAGATCAAGTGGGACTTGGCAAAATGCCAAATGATATGGAATAACAAAAGGTTCTGGGTCATTCTAGCCCTCTGAGAATCAAATAAATAAACATTGCCTATCTGCGTAGCTCTGGAAAAGTGAAGGACTGGCATGTGTTTGGCAGTGCAGCCGACCTTCTCTATCTGCAAATGAGATTCTGAAAGGTTTCTTTAGCTTTTGGGGCCCTGAACTCCCAGCTCCTAAATGATGGCAGTCGCTATTTCTTAAATAATATCACAAAAAAAAAAAAAAAAAAAAACCAGGTCAATTAACTCACATTTATCTGCTTGCAAGTTTCTGTAGTTCTCCCTGAGGCACCACCATGCATTGGCAGAGGGGCACAAGCTGAAGTTGGCCACCCTGGGTTAGAATCAGGACCAACCTTGCTGTTTGTGTGATTAGAATCTGAGTTAATATTGCGAAAGCCTCAATTTCCTCATCTATAAAAGGAGGAAGTTAGTAGGAAACTATCACAGGGATTGTTGTGAGGCTTAAAAACGGTTACCACATGTTAAGAGTGCAATACCTTTGGCCATGATTAGCATACAGTATCCTCAGCAATAGTGAATGTGGTGTCAGTGGCCATCATTGGCCTGAAGACAAGGTGTAGTCAGTGTGGCATTTTTAATATTTTATTGTCACTCTTCCTAGGCTTTTTCTTAAATGCATTCAGATAATTGATTTATATGTACTATTTAGCTCATCTATGCCAGATGGCTCCCAGAATGGTCCTGTGTGGTCTCTCTAAATGTCCCTTTCCCCCTGCACTAACATTAATATCTAGGATTATGTCTAGATAACTCTTCATGAATTAGGCTCTGAGTTAGGCAGTTCCTGTTTCAGCACTTCGTTTGATGTCCAAGAATGGCAGATCCCACGACTGAATCCTCACCGCCAACATGATCCAGTAGGGGCTTGATCAGTGTGTCCTCAGGGCACTGCCCTGCACAGCCAGGCTGGGGGAAAAGTGAAGTAGCAAGTAAATGCTTCTGAGAATGGCTCCAAGCGCATGAAGGATTCTAGACTCAAGGAACCCTGCTGGCCATGGTTGACTGGGTTTCCTTCTATACTGACTGGTGCCTGGGAACAGACTATTCCTTCCTAGAAAGCTTTATCACCTGATTCTTCTATTATTTTATGAAAGGTAAAGGCATCTTTCCAAGGATTTCTGATGTTACTTGTAAAGCTTCTCCCACGTGTTGGTCACATGACTCCAGCACTGTGTGCAGCTGTTCTTCCCGCTCTTGCCCATTCTTATTTATACCTGCGAATAGTTGAATAAGATGCAAAAGAGTCAATATCAAATTAGTTCTAAAGAAACTGGGTTTCTTTTGCCTAGATGCTACATAGGAAGAAAAGCTGGCTTTACATATACTCTTGCTATTCTTAAACCCAGGATGAGAGAGATCCAGAATCCAGAATCACCTCTGCTTCCAGGAAACACATGCAGCACTCATCCATCTTAAAAAACAAAAAGCACTAAAAATATTAATAATACCTTCAATGTGAGTAAACCCCATTTCACGTATAATTGGCATGACCATTGCACAAGAATGAATGATTATAACTTTACAGGGGGGTTAAAAATAAACTCATTTTCCTCTGATGCCATATAAAAAATTTTGTAAAAGTCACATTTGTTTCCAAAGTGTTTTGTTAGTACATGGGTTCTCAACCTTGGCACTATTGACATTTTGGGTCAGATAATTGCTGTGGAGGCTGTCTTGTGCATTGTAGAATGTTTGGCAGCATCATTAGCAGTATCTACCCAAGGGATGACAGAAGTATCTCCATCCCCCATTTTGTGATGATCAAAAATGTCTCCAGATACTGCTCATGGGGGCAAAATTACCCCTGGTTAAGAACCATTATACTAGAGTAATAGTCCAGGGTGGCAATCCCATAACCTGCTTTGAATTGATGAAAGCAGCCTAATACAGACTGGAATTTACCTCTTCCTAGAATGCTCTAATTAGTACCATATCCAAGTCTCTTCCTCTATCCTGTTGTTTAAACATAGCAATACACTGGCAGAGATGGGCAAGCTCTCAGCAGCAGTCATGAGGAGGGTACACACAACCAGGAGAAAACCACTGCAGATCATAATTCACCACAGGAACCTCAAAATATTCAGCCAAGCTGCTCCAAGGTATCCCTAACTCATCCCCAACCAAGCCACAGAAAGGGATCAGAGTCATGGCTCTGCCACTACCTACCCCTTATTTAGACAAATCTTCTTATGCACTCAGGTCTGAATGCACATAAAAGTATGATGTAAGCAATGTTTGTTTTGATTGTCACCTTGGTGACCATATGTCCTCAAGTCACAGGCTTTGGAGTCACACTGACAGTTCAGATTCTAGGATGCCACTAACTAGATCTATGGTCTTTGACAAATTACTTAACCACTTCAAGTCTCAGTTCCCTCATGTATAAGGTGAGAATAATAAAATCAACCCCAGAGAGTGTGGTGACAATTAAATGAATTAATAATGTATGTAAAACAGTGCACAATCTAAGCACTCAATGAATCCTAATTTCTTGTTTTTGCTGTTGCTTTTGCTCCTATAATAATATTGCTATTATTATCATCATTATTATTATACCAATGAATGCTAAATGTCTTAAATGGTGGTAAGTTCAGGAATTCCAAGCCAAGGACCACTGCTTCAGCCCATTGCCCCATTTCTCTTGCACACCTAAGAAATCTCTATATTCTTTTAACTCAACTTCAATGAGTGATTTCATAGTAAAAGTTATCATTTTGGTCACTAATCCTAGCACCACCACGAATTTTATAAATATCTTTAGAAGAATGCCCTCCACAACTCAACCTGAAGCCATATCCTAATGATGGGAATTGAAATTCCCATATGACATTGCAGCAGATTTGAGGCACCCAAGTTTGGGAGTTAGGAGAATCTTTCAGTTGAGTTTCATTCACACCTAAGAGGAAGTAGAATCAGCTTTTCCAGTATCTCCAACTTCAGTTAGTGCTGGGGGAAAGGAGTAAAGACAGACTGGCACAGAGAATTTGGCTAGAACTAATGTGTGATTGTGAACTTCCAGTTTTATCTCCCCATGCTGGTAATTTGCCATATTTCCCATGGCCTGGAAAAGCCATGTCCCTCTTCTCTCCCTAGAGAAATGTTATCCATTCTTCAAAGATCAACACAAAAGTAGTTTTCTGTGAAACCTTCCCTGATAACCCCAAGTTGAGGGTAATCATAGAACTTTAGAGCTGGACAAAAGTTCCCCATATTTTTATGGTTTGAATAAATTCTATGTTTTAAAGATACAACCAAAGAGCTTTTATTAGGAAACAGAACTGACTGATTCCAGCTATTGACATTCTACTTGAATTGTAAATTGATTTTTACAAGGTCTTTTATCTGCACTAGATTCTAAGTTGTTAAGGTAGAAGCCCTGTTTTACTCAATATTGTCTTTCCATAGTATTTAAAACAATACATGAAGCATAGTTCATAATAATTAGTTGAATGAGGGGACCTTTCATTAAACCAAGATGGTTTAATAGGCACTGTTTGCTGCTACTTGTCAATGCCAGCCTATTGGTTCCTCTTGGTTTACCATAAATATCTGCTAGACACATTGATCATGTTAAAGGTTTTTAGGAATGACATTCTGATACATGCTACAACATGGATGAACCTTGAAAACATTATGCCAAAAGAAATAAGCACAAAACAAAAAGGACACATATTCCAGGATTCCACTTATGTGAAATATACAAATAGGCAAAACCATAGAGACAGAAAGTACATTAGAGGTTACTAGGGGCTAAGGGGAGGAGGGAGTGGAAAGTTACTACTTAACGGGTGCAGACACTCTGTTTTTTTAATTTCAAAATATTAAGGGGGTGAAAATGTTTTAGGTTACAGGGATCACTTTTGTAATACTTGAGTCTTGGCTAAAGGTGTGCCTGTTACCCAAATAGTGTTCATAAGTACCCATTTGGCAGGATTTTGCCCATCCCTTCTTCCCCCTTTCCCCCGGGTTTATTTCCACTGTGATTTATTTCCCTCTGCACATGTGTGTGCTCATCAGTTAGCTCCAATTTAATAGTGAGTACATGTAGTATTTGTTTTTCCATTCTTGAGACATACCACATCTTATTAATCCATTCTTGAATTGATGGGCTGATGTTTTATCTACATATTACAAAAGAATAAGCTCTGAAGAGATTAAAATTAGTAGGAATTCAACAATATATTAATAGCTAGGATACATGCTAAATTTTCAAAATAATGGATTTTTCCATAGCTAACCAATAACCAATTAGAAATTTAAGATATTTAATAATAATAACTATTTTTTAAAATTATCTAGACATAGTTTTAGTGAAAAAAAAGTTAACATTTCCATTGGGAAGATGAGGCTTTGCAATTTATGAGTAATGCTCACAAAGAAGGTAGTGCTTAAATAAAGGACTTAAGAATGGTGTGAAGAGAAGGCTTTTAGGAATAGTTTTACAGAAATGATATACTATTAAACTCTTTTTTTGGCCACCTCTTAAACTCTATCTTTTGGCCAGCTTGCTATTATTTATCCCTACACAAGAGTTTTAAAATATAGAAATAGAATAATAAAACTCAACAGGAAGGCCGGGCGTGGTGGCTCACGCCTGTAATCCTAGCTCTCTGGGAGGCCGAGGCGGGCGGATTGCTCGAGGTCAGGAGTTCGAAACCAGCCTGAGCGAGACCCCGTCTCTACTATAAATAGAAAGAAATTAATTGGCCAACTAATATATATATACAAAAAATTAGCCGGGCATGGTGGCGAATGCCTGTAGTCCCAGCTACTTGGGAGGCTGAGGCAGAAGGATTGCTTGAGCCAGGAGTTAGAGGTTGCTGTGAGCTAGACTGACGCCACGGCACTCACTCTAGCCTGGGCAATAAAGTGAGACTCTGTCTGAAAAAAAAAAAAAAAAACTCAACAGGAGTAGTGTTATCTAAACCAACTGATCTGGTATACATTTATCATTTAATCCTCAGAGAAACTTGTAGTTAATATAATTTTTCCCAGTCTACAGCAAGTTAAGGCTTAGGATGCTTTGCTCATATTCATATGGCCAAGCAGGATCCATAGTTCTCACCACCAACCCCATGTCTCTCTCACTTTATTGCCGAATTCACTGGAACTAGCCAGTAGGTAGTCTCTCAAACCCATCCACACTCATAGAATTCTATTAAAAAAAAAAACTGAAGACAAAAAAGCATAGGCAACAATGAGTTGATTCACTGCATTTTTTTTTTCAAATCTATTCAATTCTCCTAACAATAGCATCTTTTGCCACATAGTCTTATCCTAAGTCAATGCCACACTTTCTGTCAAACACTTGGGAGCTTACAAATCTTTGTCATTCAATATCATTTAATTTCCTGAATAAAGAAACAAAAAAAATGTAGGAGGTTTAGGAATACATTTATAGTTGATTTTAATTTCCTGTTTGCCCTTGTAATTATGGTTTTTCTTCTTTTGCTTATGAAAACTGTTATGAGTGTGTAAAATATATTTTCTGTCATGTGATCATTCTCATCATCTTAAAAGAGCAAGCAGTTGTATATAAAACAACGGTGTCAACAAATAATTTCTTTAATGAATTATTTTTTAGATCACCTTTATACTTACATTTGGTTACAACACACTTTTACACTGGTATATGTGAGTTCCCTTGATGCCAATACTGATAGTGGAGTTTAAGAAAAATTAAAATGCTGAAGAATGCTTCCGATGTTCCCTTCCAAACACATTGCATTTATTTTTATTTTCAATTTTAAAAATAATATGCACCCATTGTAAGAAAAAGTCATAATAATAATTAAAGAACATAGAGGCAATTTTCTTCATAACCTCTTCTGTGCCACATCCACCCCTGAGCCATCTCCCTCCCCAGTGGTAACCATGTTAATAGTTTGTGTGTGTGTGTGTGTGTGTGTGTGTGTGTGTGTGTGTGTATTTCTAGGAATAAAGAAAAATAGCAGATATAGAGCATAAGAAACATGTCTTCTTCATTGGATTTTCTTTGCTTACTGGTATTAATATATCACAAACCTCTTTCTTACCAGTAAACATAGATCAACTTCGTGCTTTTAAAATAACTTCATAGTATTTCGTAGGATGCTTATACTATAATTTATCATTCCCCTATTGATAGATATTTTGATGGACATATTGACAGATGTCTTAATTTTTATCATATAAAATTCCACAGAGAGCATTTTGATGTTTACATCTTTGTGCACCTTTGAGCATTAATCCCAGAGAAAGTCTTTTGGTTTTTTGGGTTTTTTTGAGACAGAGTCTCACTCTGTTGCCCAGGCTAAAATGCCATGGCATCAGCCTAGCTCAAAGCAACCTCAAACTCCTGGGGTCAGGCAATCTTTCTGCCTCAGCCTCGGGAGTAGCGAGGACTACAGTCATGCACCACCATGCCCGGCTAATTTTTTTTCTATATATTTTTAGTTGGCCAATTAATTTCTTTCTATTTATAATAGAGATGGGGTCTCACTCTTGCTCAGGCTGGTTTTGAACTCCTGACCTTGAGCGGTCCTCCCGCCTCGGCCTCCCAGAGTGCTAGGATTACAGGCGTGAACCACTGCCTACCAGAGAAAGTCTTAGAAGAGAAATTCCTGGTTCAAAGGGTATGCACTTTAAAAGTGTTGATAATCTGTTCAGTTACCTTTAAAGGGCTGTGAAAATGTATGCTCTTACCACACAATGTAGGAGTCTGTTCATTTCCCTCACAAGCATGAATATTATGAGCTGGTTTTGCTTGGCTTCCCCCGAAAGCAGGTCTAAGACAAAAATTCAAATGGAGTACAGATGACCACCAATTTTTAATGGTTCGGCTGGTGATTTTTCAACTTTACAATGGTGCAAAAGCTATGGGCATCTAGAAGAAAACAGTATGACTTTGTCACAGTGCTGGGAAGGGGCAGCCACACCATCATCAGAACAAACAACCAATACTCTACAGTGTACTGTGTTTTCAGATGATTTTGCCCAGCTGTGGGCTAATGTAAGTGTTCTGAGTATATTTAAGGCAGACTAGGCTAATCTATAATGTTTGGTGGGTTAGGTGTAATAAGTGCATTTTCAACTTAATGTTATTTTTGATTTACAGTGGCTCTTCAAGGCGTGGCTCTATTGTAAGTCGAGGAGCGCCTGTAGTTTATTTAGAAGATGATCCCAGGAATCACTGTGAAGCAGCAGGGAAATGAAGCAAGAAGGAGGAAAACCAATAGAGAGTATATCAACTAGCTATTTACCTCTATTTGTAGGGTGGTCAATTTCCCAGGTTTGTGGGGAATTGAGGGGATTCCCAGGACATAGAATGTTCAACGCTAAAACTGGGACAGTTCCAGGAAACCTGGGATAAATGTCCACCCTACTGTATAGCAACTGGGTTTCAATCGTTCTGGAGACACTCAGAGAGACCATATAGAACACAACTTAGAACTGTTCCAATGAGAGGCAAGGAAGTGGGCTATTTATTCACCAACCCTCAGTGGTCGAGGGGTGCTCCAATGCACTGTCTTTCAGTCATTCTCCACCTGACCTGTGCCCTCTGGAAGAAAGACACAGGGAGTTGTTGACATGTCTGAGAAACATCTGCAGGCGAACTCTGGAGTCAGCCAAAAGGACATGAGGCACCAACATGAGCCAATACATGATTATTTTTCCCCATTCTGATTGTCAAAAGGATGCTATCTCAATGTTGTATTCATTTAAATTTTCTAAATAGTGGGGAATTTGGATTTAACTTCATATTTTGCACCCATTTTTGAGACTTGAGTTTTCAAGCATTTAAAGACAGGTTTAGGGTAAGTTATTTTCTTGACTTGGAACAACCTACTTCCATCATAGAAAAAATTTCCCTCAACTGACCTAAAACATGTGTGTTTGGAATAGGATGGGGAGAGCAGGGTAAACTGGTCCATGTGAACTGAAGGTGAGAATTGATGACTCAAGTTTAGTGTTCCCAGGGCCGTGATCCTTGTTACACTTTCCTTTACCCTTTTTTAAATCATACATATTTTTGGGATACAGTGATACTTCAATACACACAATGTGTAATGATCAAATCAGGGTAATTACCGTACCCATTACCTCAAACACTTATCATTTCTTTGTGTTGGGACCATTTCAAATCTTCTCTCCTAGATATTTTGAAATGTACAATAAATTATTGCTAACTATAATCACCTTATAGTGCTAAAAAGCAGAACTGAACTCCTGGAGTTTTGCACATCATGTTTTTTAGGTTCCCACTGAGTTGATATATGGCCATGATTCACACATTTATCTCCTCTGAGGCTCTTCTCACACGCATTTCCTCCCAGGCACATTTTCAGATGACTCCTCATGCTCTGTAAGCCTGCAAGCTATTACAGGTGTGTGTGCCTCATCTCACTTCTGCTGTGGCCATTGCTGTTCATTTCCTTCAAGCCTTACTCACCGCTGCCTGTTTCATATTGAATCTTAGCTCTCCAGTGGGGAAAGCAGGATGGTTAACGTGCTCTCATGGCCGTCATTACTGAAACCTAACAAACTCAAATCCCCTGTGTACCTTCAAACTCAGGATACTACTCAGCTTGAAAGCCACAGGCTAGGATACTCACCGTACCATAATAAGAATATTCAGAAGATAAAATAATCATACATTTAAACTTTAGATGCTATCACTTTGTTGATTAAGTTCTTAAACAGTTCCCCAACTACCTAAGGCCTGTCTTTATTCTTCTTACCTAGTTTTACCCACTCCTTTCCACCATGTTTCTCAGCACATGTTACAGCCTTTTACTAAGGCTATCTTCCAATCATGATGATAAACTGACAGTACCTTAGAATGGTGATTTTTTTGGTAGTTTTATTACTGAGCAGGAAATAGTCTATATAGTTTCCATCTCAAAAACTAATTACTTAGACTGTTTCTGCTAACCTTTCATCTCAGAACTTATCCCTATTTCAAAGAGTAGAGCAACACACATTTTACAAAGATAGCAACTAAGATTCAAAGACATTAAGTGACTTGCCTGAAGTCACACAACTCAAGGCCAAGGACAGAGCTCTTCCTGCTAAGCTACTTGTCTTTCGTCTGGGTCATCCGTCTTCTTGCTTCTCTGAAAATAAAAGAACATGTCAGGCAGTCAGCTCCTCATCCACTCACCTGCCTCAGACCCCTGTGCTTCAGGATTTTCCTCCACCACCACCCCACCCCACCCTTCCATCACTTCATCTCAGAGAAGTTAAGACCCCTACAGAGCATCCATCGTGAACTCATCTCCTCCAGACACTCGATCCTTACCGTGCCCTATCTGGATGGTTATTCACATCTTTGTGAATAATACATCCGTCTGCACAATCCAAATCTAAGACCTCTGAGTGCATACAGCATCTATACACAATTCTTTGCATTCCCCATCATGCCTAAGTGGCCATTGCAATGCATATAGTAGCTATTTCACAAGTATTTATAGGATGATAACTATTTCATAAGAAGAATCTTTTTTTAAATTATGCTATGGAATATATATACACAAACACAGATATATAATATTTGATACATATAAATATATATGTGAACATGTATATCTATCTGTAGTTCTCTGTTCTTGAGAATAAAATTAATCATATTAGTACTGAAAAAAATGATAAGAGATAATGGCTTGAAAACATAGTGCTGCCTGTACAGAGACCAGACCAGATTCCACTAGTATGTCTATGTGTAATGAGGTAGGGGAGTTGTTTCTTGTTTTTGTTTTTTTGTTTGTGTTTGTTAGAACAACTGAATTACGGACCAGTAGAGATGAATTTAGGTTGAGAAAACTGACAGTTTTAGTAGACTTCTAATCTGAAATGTCTTTATTCAGTATACTTCCCCAGAGATGGCAAAGACCCTAAACCTAAAGTTGAATTCTGTAACCTTTTGGCAATTTGAATCTTTAAAGGTGATTTTCTGTTCTGTGGTTGAGGGTCAAGGGAGTATGAGACAGAGGATAACACTTCTACTGCTCAGGGAACAACAGGGCCAGAGAAAGATAACTCACATTTGTAACTTTGCCACGGCTTTGGTAAGATGTTAGGAGTTTGAAATTCAGTCTAAATCTCTCCTTTAAGGAATATGTGGAAATCTTTAAAGTGAGTAGTGAAGAAAAAGTTAAGAAATACGATTTAATGGGCAATACATTAACAGAAATGAAGAGGAAGTTTTAACTAAACAAGAGGAGAGGTTTTTTTTATCTTCCAGTATTTAACAGTAAGCAATATTTTTTCATGTCTACCTGACTAAGAAAGGTGTGGATTGCATTAGGGCACTTGAGAGTTTTGTATAGGCAAAGGAGAAACAATTTTAAGAGAAGAGAATATATTGCTAAATTGACAGGTACTATAAATGCCCAAAACTAGGACCTATGCAAAGCAAAGGGTTTGAGCTGCCACTTGGTAGACTGGTACAAAGAAAACAGAAGTTTGCACATGTAAGCATGCACAAAATTCCCAAAGTGAAAATCTTGGCTTGGATTTGTAAACCAGGTCTTTTACTACACCAAAGAATAGTTAACAGTAATGTAGCTCTGAGTGGAAAGCAAACAGGTAGCCAGGCAGCTGGAGGAAGTGGCTAAAGGTGGAGAGCAGGAACCAATCAAAATGTAGAAAAGAAACCACACTATCAGATCTTTGTGACCAGAGACTTTTTCTTGGATGGATCATGCCCAGAGAGGAGCTCCTGGTGACGTTAATTACGTTAATTGACTGGGAGCTCATTGCCATCTAATTAGCATTATGGTTTTTGACATCCCCCCAGGTTTTTCATGAAGGATTCTGGGAAGACTCACGTGTAGAAAGGAAACTGTTATATAACCCCAACCTGTCCATCACCCAAAGGTGGGAAACAGCAACCAAACCCATCCAGGACAGAGGCAGGACAAACTAGTGAGTGCAAAGAAGACAGTGTGTGCTAAGACTTCAGAGTCTTCTCCACTCACAGAGAATGACCCATCTCTCCCTCTGAGAAGTACTTTTGCTTTACAATAAACACCAGGCCATGTGTGTGGGATTGCTTTGCATTTGTGATCACTCTGTCATTGGCTCAACTCAGCACCAGTACTCACTCCTGATACTGGGAACTGAGGACCAGGGAAGATTGAGGCAGACCTAACAGTAAGAGCTCAATATTTCAGAGATCCTTGAGTGGGTGGCTTCTGGGGAGAATTGCTCTGGCAGTACATTGGGAGTAACTCACTCAGCATGGCTGAAGCCATCAGAGTGTCTTTCAATCAGAGGCAAGGCATTTGGTCCTTTCAGGCTTAAAATTACCAGTTTGAAAGCAGCCAACAAAAATTAATGAATTTAATGAACTATGCCTAACTATAAAACATATACCACACATAAAGATATTGACACAAGACACTAGACACTGATGTCCATTCCATATGTTCAGAGGCAAAAGAGCTGAAAAGGAGAGGGCTGGGAGCTGTCACAGAGACTATTGATCTAAATGGCTCTGTGGTGTTAGAGAGAAAGCAAAACAGAAAAGTTCACATTTGTGAACACTGGGAAACACATGTACATATTCACATAGTTAATAAGGCAGTATAAAGTGAGGAAACCTGATTTTTTTTACCTAGACAAAATTGGTAGAGTTTGGCACATATGCAGTGTTCTTTATGTAAGGTATAGTTAGAAAAAGAAATTTTCTGGGACACAATCCACCCTCTCTGCAGGGAAGATCTCAGGACAGTGGAGCCAACATGAGACATTGTATTCTGCTTCAAAATTTTTTTGAAAGTTGATAGAGAATAAAAAATAATTTTTTTGATAATATGGAACTGTGAAAGTTAAGCACAGCATGATGGCAAGGAAAAGTATTTAATTCTGTCTTAGTACCCGGACTTGAAAACGAACAGTAACCATTCTGGCCACTTAAATAGAATTTGTCCCTCCCCAGCACTGGACACCAAGTTGTAAAGTCCAAAAAGCTGTGACTGACCTTAGACCCACAAAGAAGCTGGTAGGCTGGACCTTCACAGTCTGGAATATGTTTACATATTCTTAGGTCGGGTTTATCATAAGTTATTTCCTGCATCTTATCATCATCTATCACATGTGGACAACTGGTCAGATAGTTGTGGGATTGGCATTTTCATAAGTAAATTTAAAAGTCTCTATATATTTTTCATCTTTCTGAACAGCTCTGAGTTAAGACCCTGTCCAAGTTACCTACCTGTGATTCAAGGAGATGTTGTCTTAAAATATGACAGGAAATTATACTGTTAGAAGATCAACCCTTGAACCTTGTCCTTTGAGTTTTCAGGAGTCATTACAAACACTCTTGCAACATTTATCCTCTTAGGTCCTATTGGGACCTTCTTGCCACCAGCAGACAGCAAAGCTTTGAAGGACCGGGTTCCAAGTTAGTACCAAGGTGATGGGTTGGGATGATGGGGAACCACAAGTAGCCAAAAGAGAATTGGAACAAAATGAGCCGTATTTCCTCTTTATTTGAGATTTCAAGAGAATTGAGCAATATTTGGCTTTTTAGAGAACTGAGATCTTAAAACCACCTTGTCAATAACTCTTGAAGAACCAGGAGAAGTTGGGATAAATCTCCTAGTTATTATTCCTCAAATCACTTACACCCTCAGGGAAGAAATGATAGCTCTGTAGGGCCCTCTTCCTACATACAGAAAACTTTAATTGTTCTTTTTTGAAGCAATTTGTGGCCACTGTTTTAGCGGAAAGCTTGTTTTCAAATTGTGCAGTATGCAACTATGTCAAACTCGGAAATGCTGCATGTGCTAAAATAAGTCAGAGATGGCTGGCCAGATTAGGAAAAAAATATTGTAGGCGGGCAACCAGAGACAGATTTAGCAAGAAAGGATGTCAGGGGGATTTCCAAAGTCTCCTAACTGAAAGACAATGGTAGTGATTACGAATAATTCAGCAGTGAATTAGTGAAGAGAACACACCAACTGCAGGAACTATAATATTTTTTTTAAAAAGAGGAGCTTAAGGACCATGAAAAACAAATGCCAAGAAGGTACCCTATAACTATCAACTCTGCTACAAAGAAACAAAAGGCAAAAAAGTGCTTCATAGAGAATTCCCCTCCCAGCAAGATCTTACCGTAGGTATTTTTCAGGTCTGTGAAGAAGAGTTACTAAAAGTTTAGCTCTCCACTATATTATAAAGCATTTTTCAAAGGTTTGCATTATCTCTGTTTACACTGATATTAAGAGAGCAAGGTTGATTTTCAGCCACTGAAAGGACTTGACACAAAGTTGAGCTCAGACAAGCCACAAAAAGTACAGACTCAACTCCATGCTGTCACAACAAGATCACCGACAAGGACAGGAATTACAGACCAGTTTTTCAGTACTGGCGTCAATTTTGGGTAACTGCTTCACCATGAAGAGTTCTGTCTCTGATGACTCTCTGCACCAGAGAGAAAATGAGAAGAAGAAGAAACATGCATGATCCTAGTTTTATCACTAAGGCAGACCCTTTGCTTTCTCTGTGTGAAAACTTCCAAGGTTTCTGATTGCCTGCAGAAAATTTACAAGCAAGCCCCACAACCCTATGTGACTTTTTAAAGAACAAGGAAGTACTGGGGTCTATTTCTAATGGTACCAATATGCTTAGGCATCTCAATGTTAGCCACAGCAGCTTCAGTTGGTAACAGCTCTAACCATCAGGGGAAATGTGCAAGGAGGCTGCCAACCATCAGCTGTGGGAGAAGAAAACAAATATCCCACATGGCACAGAGAAAAAGCATCTGCTTTGCAAGCTGTGGCCTAGAGCTGCAAGAAAAGGAAATACAGTAATAAACCCAGACCAAGGGCAGCAAAAGGTTCAGGAATTCTTCTTCAGCTGGTAAACTCACAATGGCTATACATTGCTGATCTCACTGGTCATCAAAACATAACAAAAGGATTGTCCTAGTTGATGAAGAACTACAATAACAGTGTTTGGAATGCCTTCCACAGCCATACAATTTTGATGTATTTAAATTATATTTATACCTTGCATGTTTATCATATGTGCTCTTATTGTGTGTTATAAGCAACTGAATTTTCTCTCAAACACTCTGTAATACAAGCCAAGAAAATCCCCCAAAATTATT